TATTTAGATTTCATGGGAAAAGCAGAGGGAAAAACTACAGACAGTCGCTTGAGTGACAGCTGAGTCTGCTGACTCACATCCAAGATGGCGGCACCCGGTGGCACGGCTCCTGATCATGTGACCGCTACGACAGCCAATCACAGCAGCCGCATGACCCGGACGCCCACCTCTGCTTGCCATCGTTCAGAACCCCTTAAAGGGCCAAGTCATAAAATAAGAACAATTCTGTTTCCAGGAGGAAAGAAACTAACCAAAGCACCAGCGGCATCATTTAAAGGGCCAGAACGGTGTCGTGTGGAAAGTTTAGACCCCCCGTCAGGTTTTTATTTTTCGCCCCCGCGGTGTTCGTCATCGGATCTGGAAGTGATGGAACAGGAGGTGGAGTCTTCCATCGGGGACACCGCTTCCGGTGACAATTCTTCAGAAAGACGTTTTCCGTCACTTTGTAGCTATTTCGCCGATCCCTCGTCGTTCCATTCACGGGTTTCACCGCTCTGCGAGCCCTCGGCACCATCTGTCGCTGGCAGCGCGTGAAGCGAGCCGCCTTCCATATGACAATGTTTGCCCACAGCACCATTCTTCCATATTGTGTGCCGGAGAGAAACAAGAACACACAGAGGCTGCCAAGGCCGACGGCAGCGATTTCACTTACACAGAACCGCGCCGATCTCTGCGGGGCCACAGGGTTAAAGGGCCACTCCGGCCAAGCAGTTGAATGTATCTGTACAGTGCGGAGTGTTCATCGCTTGCTGCACACACAGAGGGAGCGTGAATCCACCGAGCAGGGGCACAGACAGCAATAAGAACTACACAGGGGTTCTAATCCTCTACTACTCTGTCCAAAAATAAAGCTTCCGCTACACCAATTATAAACAATTCGCAGAGCCGATCGCCCCGCGAATCTCAGTGAACGCTCATTCTGTGCAGATAGAGGCAAAAATGAACGTTCTTACTATATTTATATGGTATCCATACAGTATACTGTGTGAGGTAAGGGGCATAAGAAAGAAGTATTGATGAGAGCCCCTCATAATGGGCACAGCGGGGGGTACAGACCCGGGAACTCAGCACAGGGATGGTGGGAGCCCCTCATAATGGGCACAGCGGGGGTACAGACCCGGGAACTCAGCACAGGGATAGTGGGAGACCCTCATAATGGGCACATCGGGTGTACAGACCCGGGAACTCAGCACAGGGATGGTGGGAGCCCCTCATAATGGGCACATCAGGGACACAGGGGGTGAAGTTTTAATGACAGTTAGTATTGGGGGTTGTGCTAAACTATTCCATATAATTTCAGGTCCATGTCCGAGTCTGCTGGGGCTGCTGACATCACATCCAAGATGACAGGTTCTCTTTAATAAACAGGACCGCACAGATATTCGGACTCTTCCAGGGGTCCAGTCATGTCCGGTTCTCTATAAAGCCCGGAGCGGGCTTTTCTTTACACATTCTCTGCCAGTAAAGCCGCTTTATAAAACGACATCGTTACCCGGTTCGAAAGCCGCCCGGGCCGGTTGCAGGACCTCAGGGGGCAGCGCCAGGTTGAGTCCAGATGGACTAAAACAGGCCGTGGTAAAACTCACAGTGCAGAGGGCGGAGCAGAAAGCCGCATCGATCATCCCTAAAGCAGCCCGGCTTCTGCTCTCTGTAAATGGAGCCCCCGAACTTCCAGATTGCTTTCCGTTCCGGTAACCGCGCCAAAATCCATCCTAGGACTCCGCATTATAAATGATCAATAACTGACATTATTATGCCGACAATTATCTCCAGCTTTGCCGTCTGGCCCGTTTTCTGATGCTTATTGCTGTTTTCTGGATTAATCGGTATTGGAAAGTGTCAGTTATTTTTTCATGGCAGGTATTTATAGCGCCGCCAATAACATTACATACTGCACAGTCACATCACTCCCTACCCTACCATCTATGATCCCTATCACACACACATACTAGGGCCAATGTAGACAATGTAAAGCAATTCTGTGCGGCAGCTCCACATGATGTTTATGGCTGTTTTCTGGTTTAACAAGTATTGGAAAGTGTCAGTTATTTTTTTTATGGCAGGTATTTATAGCGCCGCCAATAACATTACATACTGCACAGTCACATCACTCCCTGCCCTCTTACAATCTAAGGTCCCCATCTCACACACACACACACATACATACTAGGGCCACTGTAGACGGGAGCCAATTAACCGACCAGCATGTCTTCGGCAAGCACAGGGGGAACACACAAACTCCACGCAGAGTCTTGGTTAACCCTTTCACTGGTGTCCTGGTTGGGATGTGCACCTCTTACCTCAGCTCCAGGAAAAGATAAAAGCGGGACGATGGGCCCATCATAAAATAAAGCAATCCTATGCGGCAGCTCCAGGTAATGCCTGCGGGTCGGTTTGCTGGATTGACAAGTATTACAAAGTGTCAGTTGTTTATGGCGCGTCACCTGACACAGCGTTTTCCATACCGCGCCTTCACATCAGATCATTCCCTCCTGGAGCTTACAATCTAAGGTCTCATCTTAGACAGGAGTCAGTTAACCTACCAGCATGTCTTTGGAATGTGGGAGGAAACCCAAGCAAAGCACAGGGATGGCATGCAAACTCCATGCAGCTGGTGACCTGGTTGGGATTTGAACCCATGACCCCTAGATGTGCTAACCACTGAGCCATTGCCCTGCCTTCCCGGTCGACTCCTATTGCGCCCGCCGAGCTATCTCAGACTACAACGGCGCCATAATGGGGTCACATGGTAGCAGGGGCGTCCCGAGGTTAGGTCTCTAGACCGGGTGACAACCCCGCCGGGTCGTCATTGCTCGTGCGTGTGACGCCACCTTGCGAATGCGCGACCACCTAATTGATGTCTGGCGGCGGCCATCTTGGTGATGGACGCCGACACTGTCGGGCTCTCGGTCCATGACTGAGTGCCCGACTTTTTAGAGGGGGTGACACCCGGGTGTCACCATTGCAGGGGTGAGACCAAAATGACTGACAGTCATTTTGGTCTCACCCCTGCATTGGTGACACCTGGGTGCGGGCCGCACCCCCCTTGTGACGCCACTGCATGGTAAGGCGCTCTAGAGACACACATCAATAAGCTTGCATTCAGCACCGCCCATGACATGTGAACCCGCCCACAAAATCCAGTTCCCGCCCTGCAGTGGTTCATTAACATATACCACACCCACATGGCTGCCTAGGACCCTCCCACAAATACGCCCCATTGTAGTGGAAATGCGATAGTAGTACTGGGAGGTGTCCCAGGAATAAGGAGGGGAGGCAATCTGTAGCACCGCCCCCCACACCCGCCGCTCTTGTAATGGGAGGTATTGGATGATAAAATGTAACAATGTGAGTGATGAGATTGTTACATTGAATCCTGCCGCAGCAACACTTACAGGTCTTGTCCCTCCCCCGCCCTACGACTGATTAGGTTATCCCTTCTGTCTCCTCCCCCAGCCTGTGACTGGACAGTGAAAGGAGAAGCAGCAGACTGATGAGCATACAAATCTACTGCCGGCAGCTCCAAGCCAACGTACAAAGACCCCGATATATAAAAACACAGGAAGTCACGAGACCGGCTTCAGGAAGTACACGCCCAGCGACCCTGTGAGGAGCTCTCTGCATTCTGGATGTATTAGTAGGTGGGAGGTCTTAGGTTTGGGTTCATTTGCATGCAGACCGCTCCAGTGCTATATACTACAATGGTCCCAGTGCTATATAATACAATGGTCCCAGCGCTATATACTACAATGGTCCCAGTGCTATATACTACAATGATCCCAGCGCTGTATACTACAATGGCCCCAGTGCTATATACTACAATGGCCCCAGTGCTATATACTACAATGGCCCCAGCGCTATATACTACAATGACCCCAGTGCTATATACTACAATGGTCCCAGTGCTATATACTACAATGGTCCCAGTGCTATATACTACAATGGTCCCAATGCTATATACTACAATGACCCCAGTGCTATATACTACAATGGTCCCAATGCTATATACTACAATAGTCCCAATGGTATATACTAGTGCTATATACTACAATGGTCCCAGTGCTATATACTACAATGGTCCCAGTGCTATATACTACAATGGTCCCAGTGCTATATACTACAATGGTCCCAATGCTATATACTACAATGACCCCAGTGCTATATACTACAATGGTCCCAATGCTATATACTACAATGGTCCCAATGCTATATACTACAATGACCCCAGTGCTATATAATACGATCCTCCCAGTGATACATAATATAATATAATGATCTCGGTGATATACAATGTAATATAATATAATGATCTCGGTGATATACAATGTAATACACGGATCTCCGGTCCGTTCGGCCTCGGTGCCCCCCCCCCACACACACACACACACACACACAATGCTCGGTCACAGCTGCGCACGGTGCGATGCTCTGCAGACACCCCGAACACACAGCGGTACCTGGCTATCCCGAGCAAAGGATGCTGTTGCTGTAGTCCGGTTACCCTGGTAACACCGGCCCGGGATCCTCCCGATAGCAGGCTGAGGGCTCCGCAGACAGCCCCGGGCAGGACACTGACACTGCCAAGAGGAGGGATCAGCATCATCCGAGGCCGCGGGCGCCACCTGCTGGCCAGAGGTGAGAACTGCGGACCGGCCGAGAGCTGCGACTCATCATCGTCCCCGACCACCAGACTGTCCTTCATTTAGAGGGGCCTTCCATGTCATGGAACCAACCCCTCTGCCCCTCTTCCTGCCTCAATCTTCCCTTTATTGGTCTTATTTGGCACTATTTTTTTAAAAATCTAA